ACTCTTTTTTTTTTTTTTTTAAGATTCTATTTATTTGACAGAGAGAGAGAACATAAGCAGGGGGAGCTGCAGAGGGAGAGGGAGAGGCAGGTTCCCCGCTGAGCAGGCAGCCGGATGTGGGACTCGATCCCAGGACCCTGGGATCATGACCTGAGCCAAAGGGAGACACTTAACTGACTGAGCCACCCAGGTAGCCTGTATTCATTATTTTTAGTGTGAGCAGCACTCCTCCCTGCTTCCTGCTGAGTGCCAGGGGCAGATCCCCGCCCACTCTGGGCCTCAGTTTCCCTATCTCTAGAGTGAAGGGCCCTAGCTTGTACGAGGGGGCATGGAGGTGTGGACTCGCACCGAGGGAGAGAGTGGTCGCTGCGCCTATTGTGAGCGGCTGGTGACTGTGGCAGGTCACCCCTCTCCCCTGCCCCTCACTTCCACCTTCTCGGGAAACCAACTAGGTGAGAATCAAATGCAGAAAGCCAAGGGCTGGAAGAGTCAAGCGGTGTTCTTCCGACGTTCCCCCCAACTCTTTTGTGGTTTGGCGGCACCATTGGGACTGGGCGGGCAGGGCTCCCCCATCTGGCAGGGTCTGCATGCCTGACTTGAGATCTGAGGAAAACCAGCTTCGACTTCTGGCAGGGTTGTTGTGGGTCCATGCTTGACCTTGTGAAGTCTCAGATGATGTGGGAAACACAGGCAAAAGAAAAAAAATCCTTACTACCTACAGCCCATTGACAAGTCCTTGAAACAGGCAGAGTGACCTTCCTCTGGGAACTCCGTGGCCTCCATGTTAACACTTTGCTAAGGGCAAAAGGCCCAACCCCCCAGGATCCTGTAAGTCTTCTTTAACATATAAAAGTTCCTTTGGAAACATCCTTTATCTCTACTCCCCAAGATGCACGTTGGCAATCATCCCGCAAGCGTATGGCCCACGGATATACACGTCTCAAGGATCTCATGACTAGGGTTTTACTAGACAGTAATAAATGACCTTTTCCTAACAGCAGCTAGCCTCTCAAGGTCCTGGAAACCTTGCTTCCAAATTCCTTACAGACTTACGCTCTCCCTAACCCCCTCCCAACTTAAAAGTATATAATCAGCCACTTGTCACAAGCCCAGTGCATCTTTTTCTGCCCATGGGTCCTGTCCCAGTGCTTTAATAAAACCATCTTTTTGCACCCAAGATGCCTCAAGAATTCTTTCTTGGCTGCCGGCTCTGAATCCCAACAATTTCTACCTCATCAGGGACTCGTTTGCAAAGGAGACTGAAGCCTCCCACAGAGGAATTGCTGAGAGGATTAGCATATAGCACGGGGCCACCAACTACTCACACCTTGACCTTCATACTCAAGGTTTAACTCCCAGTTAATGTTTGCTGAGGAGAAACCTCAAGCTTCCTGGCTTAAGGATAATAATTAAAGGCTGGGGAACCCAGGTACCTGGGTGATGTGTCAGGTGGCATTTCAGGGAGAAGGGAGGGGCAACTGAGTATTATCCAAGTATTAGTTGTGGTCCTGGACACAGAACATTAAACCCAGGGGCTCCTGGGTGGCTCAGTCTGTTGAGCGTCTGACTCTTGATTTTGACTCAGGTCATGATCTTGGGGTCCTGAGATGGAGTTCTTTGTGGAGCCCCGTGCTCAGCTGGGAGTCTGATGGGATTCTCTCTCTCCCTCTACCCCACCCCCGCTCATGCTCTCTCTCTAATAAATATTAAAAAAAAAAAAAAAAAAAAAAAGAGGGCCTCCTGGGTGGCTCATTTGGTTGGGCATCTGCCTTTAGCTCAGGTCATGATTCCAGGTTTGTGGGATCGAGCCCCATATCAGGCTTCCTGCTCAACGGGGAGCTTGCTTCTCCTTCTCCCCATTGCTCGTGCCCTCTCTCTCTCTCAAATAAATGAATAAAATATATTTTTTTCAAATAAATGAGTAAAATCTTAAAAAAAATTAAAACCCAGTTCTGAATTTGGTACTTATCCCATGCACACCCTCAAGCTTTTACTACATATGCATATATTCCTACCTAAGACATAGGTATGATTTTGTATATTTCCAAACTTAATATAAAGACTTTAGGGTTGCCTGGCTAGTTGGGTTGTGGATTGTGCAATGCTTGATCTTTTTTTTTTTTTAAGATTTTTTATTTATTTTTTGACAGAGAGAGAGACAGCGAGAGAAGAAACACAAGCAGGGGCATTGGGAAAGGGAGAAGCAGGCTTCCCACGGAGCAGGGAGCTTGATGCGGGTCTCGATCCCAGGAGCCTGGGATCATGAACTGAGCCGAAGGCAGACGCATAACGACTGAGCCACCCAGGCGCCCCATGCAATGCTTGATCTTGAGGTTGTGGGTTCAAGCCCCAGGTTGGGTGTAGAGATTACTTTAAAAAATAAAATCCTTGGGCGCCTGGGTGGCTCAGTTGGTTAAGCGACTGCCTTCGGCTCAGGTCATGATCCTGGAGTCCCAGGATCGAGTCCCGCATCGGGCTCCCTGCTCGGCAGGGAGTCTGCTTCTCCCTCTGCCCCTCCCCCCTCTCATGTGCTCTCTCTGAAATAAATAAATAAAATCTTTAAAAAAATAATAATAAAATAAAAATAAATAAATAAATAATAAAATCCTTAAAAATATATATAAAGGGGGGCACCTGAGTGGCTCAGTTGGTTGGGCGTCTGCCTTTGGCTTGGGCCATGATCCCGGGGTCCTGGGATTGAGCCCGGGGTCGGGCTCCCTGCTCGGTGGGAAGTCTACTTCTCCCTCTCCCCCTTGCTCATGTTTTCTCTCTTGCTGTCTCTCTCTCACTCTCAAATAAATAAAATCTTTAAATATATATATACATATATAAAGGCTTTATAGTCTGTGCAACTTTCTGCAACTTTATTCATGCCGTGTTGATTCACCTAACTTTATGCTAATGCTGTTCCTCCAGTTCATCACTCTCCACTGATGAGTGGCATTCTCCTATAAACCACAATTCACTTCTCTGTTTTCCTGATGATTGACATCTGGGTTGTTAACAGTTTTCCAATATCACAAACAGTGCTGCATGTGTATACAGAAGTCCTCTTTTTTTTTTTTTTTTTAAGATTTTATTTATTTGACAGAGACACAGCGAGAGAGGGAACACAAGCAGGGGGGAGTGGGAGAGGGAGAATCAGCCTGAGCTGCTGAGCAGGAAGCCTGATGTGGGGCTTGATCCCAGGACCCTGGGATCATGACCTGAGCTGAAGGCAGGCGCTTAACGACCGAGCCACCCAGGCGCCCCTAACATAGATTTTTAATTTTATAATTTTATTACTATTTCTTAAGTAGGCTCCATGCCCAACATGGGGCTGGAACTCATGACCCTGAGATCAAGATTCGCATGCTCGAACACTGAGCCAGCCAAGTGCCACTAGATTTCTATTTTTATTTTTTTTAAAGATTTTATTTAGGGTGCCTGGGTGGCTCAGTTGGTTAAGCGACTGCCTTCGGCTCAGGTCATGATCCTGGAGTCCCTGGATCGAGTCCCGCATCGGGCTCCCTGCTCGGCGGGGAGTCTGCTTCTCCCTCTGACCCTCCCCCCTCTCATGTACTCGCTCTCTCTCATTCTCCCTCTCTCAAATAAATAAAATCTTAAAAAAAAATAAAGATTTTATTTATTTATTTGAGAGGGAGAGACACAGCGAGAGAGGAAACACAAGGAGGGGGAGCGGGAGAGAGAGAAGCAGGCTTCCTGCGGAGCAGGGAGCCTGATGCAGGGCTCGATCCCAGGACGCCGGGATCATGACCTGAGCCGAAGGCAGACGCTTAACGACTGAGCCACCCTGGTGCCCCTAGATTTTTATTTTTAATGATGTTAAATCCTCATAAGAAACCTGTATGTTTTATCCTTGTTATCCTGAGGTTATTGTAGAGGCCACTTTTAGGCACCAACTTGAGCAATGGACACCTGAGTAAGGTAGAAGGGCACACAGTGACCACCTAGCCCCTGGGTGAATACAAACAGGCCCATTAAGTGACCCACCTCAAAATATCCATAAGCCCTAGCTGATCAACACAGCTATTTGTGGGGAAAAAGAAGTTTTTTTTTTTTTTAAGAAATCTATTGGGGCGCCTGGGTGTCTCAGTCGTTAAGTGTCTGCCTTCAGCTCAGGTCATGATCCCGGAGTCCCGGGATCGAGCCCAGCCTTCGGCTCCCTGCTCTGTGGGAAGCCTGCTTCTCCCTCACCCACTCCCCCTGCTTGTGTTCCCTCTCTCGCTGTGTCTCTCTGTCAAACAAATAAAATCTTAAAAAAAAAAAAAACTATTTCAATATTAGCAACCAAAACCAACAATGTGTTAGTAGCAACAATGACAACACTATGAGCAAGTTGTGTTTATCCCAAGAATTCAAGGATTAATTACCCTTAGAAACTCTATTGATGTAACTGAGCTCATAAACAGTAAAGTAGAACCCATATAATCACCTCAACAGGTGCAGAAAACGCATGCAACTAGCAACTGCTACTATTTTATTGTATTTTTCCCTAAAAACGCATGGTGTTTTTAGAAAAACATTTTTAAAAGATTTTTATTTATTTGTCAGAGAGAGCACAAGTGCGGGGGGGGGGGGGGGGGCAGCAGGCAAAGGGAGAAGCAGACTCTCAGATGCTGAGCAGGGAGCTGGACTCGGGGCTTGATCCCAGGACTCTCAGATCAGGACCTGAGCCGAGGGCAGAGGCCCAACCGACTGAGCCACCCAGGCGTCCCAGTGGAAATCTTTTAAAAGTTCAGAGCAGCAGGGACTCCTGGGTGGCTCAGTTAGTTAAACAGCCGACTCTTGATTTTGGCTCAGGTCATGATCTCAGGGTCTTGCGATGGCGCCCCCCAGCGGGGCTGGGCGCTGAGCGGGAAGCCTGCTTGGGATTCTCTCTCAGCCTCTGCCCCTCCCCACTCCCGCGAGCTCGCTCAATCTCTCCCTCTCTAAAAAAATTTTAAATGTATTATTAAAAAAAAAAGTTCAGAGCAGCAAAAATCAAACAAAAACCAGGCATGAGCAAGAGAGATACTGCGGTCTCCATTATGGGGTATGTCCTAGCACAGTCTTTGCTCAAAGGGCTTCCTAAGGCCATTTTCGGGTATACGTTTCTATGACCACAAAGAGCATCTTTGGCAAGTCTGGTTTCGGTTTGGCCTTTATCCACGTCCTGGATTCCATGCAGGGTCTGAGAAGCCCCGAGAAATAAAAGATTAACCAGACCCAGTGGACCCTGTGGTTCCTCACCTCCAAGGGCCAGCCTCTCATGCCTTCAACCCCAAACCGGTTCTCCCCTGCACCCAAGTCACTGGCTCTGCCGCGACTAACAGATGAGAGCGCTCCAGAGACTGGTGGGTCTGCCCTTCAGTCCCTCCTAATTCTGCCCCTCCACTGGGTCAAGGGTGGGGCACCTGGATTGGGGGAGGCTGGGGACGTCGGTGGGGACAGGGGCCTCCCCAGGACTGGGGGCTCCCGCGCCCTGGAGGTGGCCAGGGGGGCGCAAAGGAAGCGGGGGGAAAGGGGCCGGGAGGGGCAGCGGCGGAGGGCCGAGGGGGAAGGAGGCGGGCACCGGCAGAGTCACACCTGGGGCGGCAGAGGGAGAGGGGACGAGAGGCCAGGACCGGGTTTCGGGTGAATCTGGAGCTCAATGGGACCTCCCGGGGCGACTGCAAGGGGTTGGCTGTGGTGACCTCGGACCAGAGCTCCCTTCCGCTTTGCGGAGATGGGCCCCAGGCTCGGCCGACCAAGGAATGTGTCGGTTTTCAGCCTCAAAGCTACGGAAAGGGCGGGATGGAGGTGAACAGTAACGGCCCTTTGGGCCTCGTTCCCAAGTGACGGCTGGAAGCGCCGCACACCCCTTAACCGCGCTGTGCGCCTGCGCCTGTGTCTCGGGCGCGCGCTCGGCGCAGAGGTAGGCTTTGCGCGAGCCTTCCGCTCCCCAGGCCGCCCTCAACACCCACTGCGCTTGCGCATCCGCTCCTGCCTCGAAGATGGCAGGCGCTTCTACCACGCCCACTGCGCGTGCCCCTCCGCGTCCGCAGCGGGGGTCCTGCCGGAGCGACTGCACTTCCCTCCGCGCCGCGCGGTTACGGCGGCAGCAGTTGTGTATCGCAAACGAGTGTCGCAGCGAATGCTCGAGAAATGTGTACGTGCTCGATGCCCTCCTGCGATCGGGAAAGGTCTGAATTCCGAAGCACGCCCGGCCCAGGCGTTTCAGACGAGGGCTTGCAGACCGGCGGGAATGCAGGGGCGCAGCCGCTCTGGAAGGCTTAACGGAGTGTATAAAAGTGTATAAAAGTAGCTGGCGCTTGTTTGCCCAGTGGAGTTAGGTGCTGGGCTCAGAGGAGCATAAGCAGGAGGTCGCGCGCAGGGATGGCCTGGGGGCCAGTGCAAGGTTGCATGGGGTCAAGTGTCTGCAGGAACCGTGGCCCGGCAGCATCCCACGCGAGCAGCCGTCGCGCTGCCCGCGCTGTTCTGGAGCCCTCTGGCGGGTCGGACAGGCCCGGGGAGGCAGCAGCCCTTGGGCACTGCGGTCCTGGTCGCCTCGCCCCCTCCTGCGACCGTTTCCCACTCTCGCCTCACTCCCCAACCTTCATTTCCTCCTCCACGCTCCGTCTGAGCCCTGTCCTGATGTCCTGCTTCACAGAGAAATGGGGGGCAGCCAGAAGAGAACGTCCACGCCACCCACCACCCATCTTTGGATGCCCTTTCCCCCTCCCCCATACCCCCAGTGTTGCCACTCCTCTGCCAGCCTGCACTGATTTCCTTCAAATACCTGCATGGCACATGCCTCCATGTCCTTCAAGTCCTTGTGCAGATGTGACCTTCACAGGGCGTATTCCCTGGCCACCCTCTCCAAACATTCCCTCACACCCCTTCCCTGCTTTATGTCTCCATCACACCAGCTGACATACTATGTAATTTCCTTGTTCATGTTATTGCCCGTCTTCCCTGGCTGGAAGGAAAGCTCTGTGAGGTCACGGATTTTGTCTCCTGTTTCACTGGTTATATCAGTAGCACCTAGAACAGTTGGTTTATTGTCCACAGTAGGGAAGCAAGAAATATTTGTTCACTGAATTGATAAATCACCATCATAGCTAATGTTGTAAATGCTTTTCATGATCAGGCACAGGACTAGGCAATCTCCATGCATGATCTCAGTGAATCAAATAATTTCCTGAGTCGCCTGGGTGGTACAGTTAAGCTTCCAACTCTTGGTTTCTGCTCAAGTTCTGATCTCAGAATCCTGAGATCGAATCCCGAGTGGGGCTCACGCTCAGCACGGCCTCTGCTTGAGATTCTGTCTCCCTCTCCCTCTCCCCCTCCAGCTTGTTCTCTCTCTCTCTCTCAAATCAATCAATCAATCTTTAAAAAAGATTTCCTGCTATCTTGGAGACCCACCAGCATCTCCTGCCCCATGGGCTTAATGGTCATCAGGCTCTGTGTCTCTCTTTTTTTTTTAAGTTTATTTATTTATTTATTTATTTATTTACTAATCTCTACACTCAACATGGGACTTAAACCCATGATCCTGAGATCAAGAGTCGCATGTTCTTCCAACTGAGCCAGTCACCTCTTGCTGCTTCCTTTTTTTTTTTTTTTTTAAGATTGTGTTTGTTTATTCGACAGAGAGAGGGAGAGAGAGAGCACAAGCAGGAGGAGTGGCAGGCAGAGGGAGAGGGAGAAGTAGGCTCCCCGCTGAGCAGGGGCTCCATCCCAGGACCCTGGGATGACCTGAGCCAAACCGACTGAGCCACCCAGGCACCCCTCTCTCGCTGCTTCCTGCAGATCTAAGTGGAACACTCACCTCCATGCAGCCCACATGGAGCTTTAATGTGACTCCAGTGAGACCAGAGTCCTGGGTCCTCACCTGGCTGCCTCTTCTGGCTTCCAGAAGGAAGTTACTTAGGCCTTATGGGATCTGTGGGCAGGTCCTCTGCTGGACCTGTCTGTAGACCTGTGGCAAGATCTTTGGCAAGATCCTGCCCCCCAGAGCCTCTTCCTCAGCCTCCCCACCGCCAGCACAGTATCTCACCAAATGGAGAATGCACATCAGTTTTTGGCCCAGCTGTTTCTGCCCCCTAGCTCAGCTCCTATCTGGGACAGGCACTGGGTGTTTGATAAAATGAATAAATAGTCCTCAGGTTCTGGAAATTCCTCTGTAAATCTTTAGCCAAACATCCTTCTGCCATGAAACTTGTATGTAGGTACTTAAAAAGTCATAAATTTGACTTAGAGGACTTCAGATTTGCAGGATGATTTGCTAGAACAAGAAAGGCGGTGTGATTTACTAGGAAAAGATCAACGATTTGATTTTTGTGTGGTCAACTACTTTGTGCATGCCTAGGAAAGTATCTGAGAGGAGCAGTTCAATGCTGTGCCTTTGGGTCAGTGGAGAACTTTCAGCATATACTGAATTTTCGAACATTTTAACAAGCATGTTGTTTTGTCATTAAAAACTAGAAGAGGAAAAATATTAATAAAATTGAGAATCCCGGGACACCTGGGTGGCTCAGTCGGTTAGGCGTCTGCCTTCGGCTCAGGTCATGATCCCAGGGTCCTGGGATCGAGCCCCGCATCAGGCTCCTTGCTCAGTGGGAGCCTGCTTCTCCCTCTCCCTCTGCCTGCCGCTCCCCCTGCTTGTGCTCTCTCTCTCATACACACACACAAATGAATAAAGTCTTTATTTAAAAAATTGAGAATCCCTAAAAAATATACTGACCTAAAGGGATGAGACCTCAGAGTGCTGAGCTCTCATGGCTGGGTACTCTGGAGAGTTCTCTCTCCATCTCTAAGGGGGATGAAAACTGTTCTCTGTTGTACCAAGTGTGTGTGGCACATGTATACCTTGGCTGCCTCCCCCCCCCTCCCCTGGAGGTAGGCATGATCATCTCCAGGTCCAGCAAAGAAGTGACTGAGTGAGGACAAGTGAGTAGGGGCAGAGGTTGCATTGGGACCCAAGCACGGCCACCAGCTGCGTCCATTCTGCTGCTTCATATGCCCCACAAGTCCCCACACATACAGGTCCACGCGGCCCCTTCTGTTAGCCTTACTGCAGAACGGGCTGGCAGGCGAGAGAAGGAGGCACAGCCGCTCTGTTGGAGCATGTTTTGCTGGGGCAAGCCCCTGGGACTGGGGGGGACTCCAGGGGCAGAGTTTCACTCTCCTAGGGCCCCAGCTCAGAGCTCTGTGCTCCAGAACCACAGCAGGCCCGGCCTGGCATGGAGGGCCAGAGAACTGTTGTCTATTTCGGGAAAATGCTGATGGGGGAGAGGGGGGAGGGGGCAGCGGGGTCCTGGGGTTCCTCTGCTACCCGCCGGCCATGTGACCTAGGTAACCCCTCTCCTCTGTGCCTCAGCTGCACAGTGGAAACATCACTGCCTGGTTCAAACAGATTGCAAGGCCATGATTGCTAGGTTCGAGCCCTGGGAACGAGGCGGAGGCTGTTAAAGGCCATTCTGTGTCCTCCCCTCTCTCCTCAGATTCAGGGCAGGGTCCTGCTCCTGACCATCTGCGCGGCTGGCATTGGCGGGACTTTTCAATTTGGCTACAACCTCTCCATCATCAATGCCCCAACTTTGGTATGTATTTTCTGTGCCCACCATCACCATCCCAGTGGGTGCAGGGTGAGGGCTAACGGCTGCCCGCTGTGGGGCTTCAGGCCAGCATCCACTTGGTGGTGCTTTCACCCCATGCACCAACCTTCACTGAATGACCCACAGGTCCTGCAGATCCAGGTTCAAACCCAGCTCTACATCCTCCCTTGAACCTGCATGTCCTCCCGGGTCCCTGATGTCAGCGCATAACTTTACTGCTTGCCTGGTTGGGGGCCAGCCTTGACTCTGCCTCCCTGCCTCCAAACACCAAGCCCTTCCTAACTACCTCTAGCTAGCCATTTCTCCCCGTGTCTCTGCCATGACTCCAGTTCAGGACCCGTCTCTCCTACCTAGATCCCTGGCTTAGCCTCCTCACTGGCCTCCCTTCCTTCAGCCTCGAAAGTTTGACCAAGCCACTCCCCTGCCCAAAAACATTCTGTGGCTCCCCAGTACCTATAGGGATAAGAACAGACTCATCCACCTGAAGTTCAAGGCCTCCTTAGATCAGAACCTGTCCACCTTTCTCCTACCTTCATTCCCTGAACCCCACTAGCAAAGCAAGTTAAATGCAGTTCCCCAAATGCACACAGCCCTCTCTCTAAGCCTCTTTTGCTTGGGAAGCCCTCTCTGCTGCCCCTGCAGAAGCCTCTCAAGGACCACGCAAACACCATCACCATCCTGAAGCCTTCCTTCGACAGCCCCACCCCACCCCAGCTGGAAGTCGCCCCTCCCTCCCCAGGCCTTCAAGCGGGCTGTCCCCACTCAGGTTGCATGTTGGTTGTGTGGGGCCCGTATCATCCTCCTGCTGGTTTGCTTTCAGTGTCTGAGTCATCCTTGTGCCCCCAGCGCCTGGCGCTGACCTGGCCCAAGGGACTTTCTTGGCCTCAGAGACTCCTCCTAATCCCTCAAATGGATTTCCAGCCAGGGACAGGAGAGGCTGGGCCTGGTCCCAGCTCCCCTAGATGGTCCTGCCCCCAGAGGGACCTGGCAGGCACCAGGCTGACAGTCATTACCCTGAGCTGGCCTGAGCAGAGGAGAGCTGGCCCAACCCCTAAACCTGCTGCCCTCCTCACGTCCTCCCTCATATCCTGTTGGGAGGCCTGAGACCAGTCAGACGCTGAAGTGTGTCCAGGTCTTCCCCGAGTGCAGTCATTCCTAACCCTGTGGCCTCTGTTTACTTACCTAGAACTGCAGCTCTGGGGGTGGGGGCCTGGGGTGTCCTGACCACCCGCGGCAGCCCTGACCTGTGGCTGAGGCCGTGACAAGTCCTTTCACCTCTCTGGGCCTAATCCCCCACCCCCAAAGGGACACGTGGAAGGAGCGGTTACCGAACCTGGAAGGAAAGAGCCGTGTGGCGTAGGACCCCTTGAGAGGAGCCAGGACGCCTGGTTGAGTGTCATAGCCGGCCTGAGGTGACCCCCCGGCCTGAGGTGACCCGGAAACAAACACCCCTCCCGCCTCTCTCTCATGTCCTGCTGGGGCTCACCATTGGCCAAGCCCCACAGAAAGCCAGTCAGCAGGGGGCCCACTGATGTGAGCCATACGGGTGGATGCTTAGGCCAAAAGCAGGGGCCCGGGGGGTGGGGGGTGATCGTGGACTCTGACGGGCAAACAGAGACTGGCCAGCACCAGGCTCCAGGAGACACTGTATGTGAAGGAGATCTGTCCGGTGCCCTCAAAGAGGAGGAGCTCAGGTGACTCTGTTCCTGCCCCACCGGAGTCTTGCTCGGGAGCCCTGGCGCCTGCTCTCTGCTGAGGAAGAGCCCTGTGGGCGAGAAGGCTTAGCCTGTCCAGCCTGTCGCTGGGAGGCTGACTGGCATCTCTGTCCACAGCACATTCAGGACTTCATCAACGAGACATGGGGGGTGCGTACCGGCCAGCCACTGCCCGATCACCTCGTTCTGTTGGTGTGGTCCCTCATTGTGTCTCTGTACCCCCTGGGGGGCCTCTTTGGAGCACTGCTTGCCGGGCCCCTGGCTGTCGTGCTGGGAAGGTAAGTGCTTTCTGTGTGTGCCCCGGAGGCCCCTTGATGAGAGGTGCCCCAGTCTGTAGGCTGAGGAATGTGGGAGAAGGAAGAGGCCCTGAGGCCCAGGCCCAGGCCAGCTCTGCCCGCCCTCCGCCTTCTACCCTACCAGCGGTTTCATCACAAGAGTCATACGTCTAGGGGCGCCTGGGTGGCTCAGTCGTTAAGCGTCTGCCTTCGGCTCAGGTCATGATCCCAGAGTCCTGGGATCGAGCCCCGCATCGGGCTCCCTGCTCGGCGGGAAGCCTGCTTCTCCCTCTCCCACTCCCCCTGCTTGTGTTCCTGCTCTCGTTATCTCTCTGTCAAATAAATAAATAAAATCTTAAAAAAAAAAAAAAAAGTCATATGTCTAAGCTGATTTGGTAGACGGAGGAGCCTTGTGCTCTGAGGGAGAGAGGACTCCTGGTCTCTAGTTCCATGTCTGTGGGCAAGTGCTATTGGACCATAAACTAGGTCCTCTTCAGGCCTCATTCCCCTCTCTGTATCCAACTGAGGCAGTTCTTGGGGTGCAAACAAGAGAGACAGGCTCATACTAAATACATACATACATACATACATACATACTTCTGGCCGCCTCAGTCAGTGGAGCATGGGACTCTTGATCTTAGGGTTGTGAGTTTGAGCCCCATGTTGGGCAGGGAGCCTACTTAAATAAAACTTTTTAAAAAGTCTACTTAAGGTGGGGCGCCTGGGTGGCTCAGTTGTTAAGCGTCTGCCTTCGGCTCAGGTCATGATCCCAGGGTCCTGGGATCAAGCCCTACATTGGGCTCCCTGCTCGGCGGGAAGCCTGCTTCTCCCTCTGCCACTCCCCCTGCTTGTGTTCCCTCTCTCGCTGTGTCTCTCTCTGTCAAATAAATAAATAAAATCTTAAAATATATATATAATAAAAAATTAAAAGTCTACTTTAAAAAAGAGAGAGAGAAAGACAGGCTTGGACTGATCTGATCGAAAATTGTAATAACTGGAAAGATGGTGGAGCGGCTCATAGAATGAAAGGAAATACTCAGAAGCCAGGTCTTCAGAACGGCAGGATCCAGGGCAGTGCTGAGGATCTCAACAGCCAGAGCTTTGGGCCATCCTCCCAGGGAGGATGCCTTTGGAGTGCATTAGCTCCAACAACATTCTATCTCCAATGTCTTCATTCAAGATTCAGAATCCAGGAAGACAGATTGTTACCGACCCACCATGGGTCACACATTTACAACCATGAAGCAGTACTGGGCAGAAAAAGCAAATGGCTACCACGGTCCACCCCTTTGCTAGCCACCCTGCACGCGTAGACACGTTTCTCCCGTGTATTCAGCTCTATACGTGCCCCTCCTAACATTCCTCAACCATCCCATCATATACACCATCATATGTATTCACCTCTCCCTGAGGGAGACCACTTAGAGCCTTGTCTTGTCTGGAAAGCTACCATAGTGCCTCACCCAGAGGCAACATTATCAAGCAGAACGGGGACTTCTTCCTGGCTGATGCTTTATATCAGAAAGAAGAAGAAGAAAAAAAAACTTTTCAAAAAAGGTGCCATGTCTCATTGCCCAGCACCGGGTCACTAGCATAGAGAATGAGATCACCAAGTCTGGGTTAGATGGTCGGGTTCATACCTGAACCTTAAGGGGTAAGGGCACATTCCCAAACAAATTTAGGCTCTTCCTGCAAAAGAGAAGGAATTAGCTCTGACCCCTGGTGTGCCTTAGGGGAGGGGTGGCAGTATGGTCAAGTAGGCATGCTGACACGAGTAACTTGCTCGTGAGAACCTTTGGGGCCCACACGAGGCATCACCGAAATAGTGATCAAGTGCTACTGGGCACACCCCACCTTAGCATAGGAGTGTCATATGGCACGCAGTGCGTGATGGATACACAACCACCAGGGCTGGGGTAGGGACTACCGACAAGGCCAGGGTTCTTTCTTTTTTTTTTTTTTTTTTAAGATTTTATTTATTTATTTGACAGAGAGACAGCAAGAGAGGGAACACAAGCAGGGGGAGTGGGAGAGGGAGAAGCAGGCTTCCCACTGAGCAGGGAGCCCGATGTGGGGCTCGATCCCAGGACCCTGGGATCATGACCTGAGCTGAAGGCAGACGCTTAACTGACTGAGCCACCCAGGCACGCAGGCCAGGGTTATTTCTAATTAAGAGGATGGTAATTCACTGAAGGAGAGTGGCTTTGCCCCAAAGCTCTAGGTCTTGCATTGTGAGTCTCCTTTTGGATGGCTGCCACAGCCACTCGGAGCACCATAGGCTCTCCTAGGTCTAAAGGGGCGAGTGGCAGAGCTCTTTGCACTGAGTGGACCCACTGGAGGATACTCTTCATGCTCAGCTCCACTCGAAGCTGCCAGGTTTCCAAGTTACCTGGTTTGTGTGCCAGAGCGTGACACCCAGGGTGGTACGTACTCTCTCTAAAATGGGAAGGAGCTCTCTGAGGTTTGCCCTTCCTTCTTAGAGGGGTGGCAGTGATTTCTCATGCACTTTGGAGGAAATAGGCTGATGTGCATTAGTCCGGTGAGCTTCGGGAACTTCACTGATGGGGCGGCCCGCTCCGTTTGAAGTTTCCACTCTTTATCATGTTTGTGCCTTACAAGACCTCTAGTGGACTCTTCTGGTGCTCATTCTCCCTGTCCTTTCAGTATATAGTCATCAGAGAAGTGGGCCAGCAGGATGCCCTGTGGAAGGGACTGTGGCCCCGAGCTGGAGAGCTGCTCTATCCTCAGGCAGGTCAGTAAAGGTGTATTACTGCCCCTGCTAGGTGGAAGCTAAGCGTTTCCGGTATTGTGTGTGTACGGAAATGGAGCAAAATGTATTTACCAAATAAATACCCCACAACTGAAGTACTTTATTAACTTACAGCACTGAGGAAACCATAGGTGGTTTTCAGTTGGAGTTACCCCTGGACCAAGTTTGCTATAATCTATGCCATTCTCCATTCTCTAGACACAGGAGATCTATGCTTTAGTCTGGATTCTCTTGCCGGTGTGCCGCTGACTTTGGGCAGAAGACTGGCCTCCTCTAGGATCCAGTTTCCCTGTCTGTACAGTGAGCTCTCCCGAGTACCCTGTATGACAGCACTTCTGTGCTCAGTATCAGGAACCCCAGACCTGAGGCTTCATCATGGTGGAGCAGCTGACATTTCTAGTGGCCACTCCCTGGGCTGCAGTCTGTCCCGCTGAACTAGGCATGGGCCACCCAGCCATCCTGAAAGTTCTGAGAAGTGACTCTATAATACATGGAAGAAAATGTGCGGGGACTGTACTTGGCTTTCAATGCATCTCTTCCCTTACTCTGAAAGTTTTATTGAGTCTGAGAAATCAGACATTAGGCCTCTCATCTTACAAAGGAGTGGGAAGGGGCGCCTGGGTGGCTCAGTCGTTAAGCATCTGCCTTCGGCTCAGGTCATGATCCCAGGGTCCTGGGATTGAGTCCCATATCGGGCTCCCTGCTCAGCGGGAAGCCTGCTTCTCCCACTCCCACTCCCCAGCTTGTGCTCCTGCTCTCGCTATCTCTCTCTGTCAAATAAATAAAATCTTTAAAAAAAAAAAAAGGAGTGGGAAGAAAGAAATGCTTCATCTGAAGAGATGAAGCATAAAATACAAATGTCATCTCAAGCTATGATGCGGGTGGAAAGGAGAGTAGCTTAGACTCCTTGATGAATCTCACACACGTGCACACACGGGTCTGATCCGGGCTGGCTGGAGCTGCAAAGGGGGGGTCCCCAGGGAGAGTCCCCCCGCCCAGACTGAATCTGAGCCTCTCTTGCCTGCATTCCACTTCCCCCCAGGAAGAAGTCCCTCCTGGTGAATAACATCTTCGTGGTGGCCGCGGCGACCCTGTTTGGCTTCAGCCGCAGAGCAGGCTCCTTTGAGATGATCGTGCTGGGCAGGCTGCTCATGGGAGTCAGTGCAGGTATGCAGGGAGGGCAGCTCATCCTGCCTCTCTATTCCCACTCATTCATGTATTCCATTTATTCATTCATTTGTTCTCTTTATTTCTTTCATCCATTCATGCATTTTCTTTCTTCATGTTTTTCATTCATGCCCACCTCTTCTTTAGCAAAATGATTATGGTTTATCTCAAAAGGCTCATATAACTAGACACTTAAAGTGGCTATAGAGACATGAAAAAGTTGTACAGGGCTGTGGATACAAGCATCCCCAAGCCCATGCTAACAGAGATCCTGTATTTGAGCCACACTCTAAGCCAGGAGCTTCCTGGCAGCCAAGGTACAAAGGCAACAAGGATGAGTTCTCAGATCTTCCCTATAGAGGCAGAGTAGCCTGTTAGGGGCTCCTCAGTTTCAGGGGCTTGGCATGTGAGGAAGCCCATCAACCTGGGCTTTTAGGGACACCCATCAGCAAATCCCCTCTTGACTTGCTACTGTTTATACACCAGGTGTCTCTGTCTATATTAGTTATTTATTCCTGGGAAAGAAAGTACTCTGAAACTTAGTGGCTGTGCACACATCTAGGCTTGAGCATGAATGTCCAGCCCATGTACCTGGGGGAAAGTGCCCCCAAGGAGCTCCGAGGAGCCGTGGCCATGACCCCAGCCATCTTCGCTGCCCTGGGGATCGTGATAGGTCAGGTGGTCGGACTCAGGTAAACACCCTGTCTCCATGTGCCCTGAGTAGTTTGAGGGGGGCCAGAAAAAGCCCTTCGCCTAAATTTCTCATTAAGTGTATTAAGGCATTGCTTCTTTGAATTAAGAAATCTTCTTTGTATTGAAATCCTGTCTACACCCATCTGGCCAATACACAAAATGGGTATTAGCCAACTACCTGCCAGTGTGAATCAGCATTTTCCCTCCTCTCTAGATCAGGGAGCAAAGAACAGGTCTTAAAAAGAGAGAAGGTGAAGGTTTGGGCTTTTAAAGGGGAGCATGTCCTGGTCATCCCAGAAAAGAGAGGGGAGGGCAGAGCCTGGAACCCTGGGAAGAGGAGTTGCTACAGATAAGGTGGGGTCATGGCCATGGGATGGGAGGGATCTTGGTGTCCAGACCCAGAACTGGTTAGAAAGAAGCAGAGAGCAATACAGGTCCTCTGCCCTCAGGAGGGCAGGCAGGCAGGGGACTGGAGGGTGCGGGGTGGGGAGGTCAGGGGATTAGGGGGCAAGTGGGCAGGGTCTTGGCAAAGAAGCGCCTGGTCCGGCCTCTCCTCTGTCTCCCCAGGGAGCTCCTGGGTGACCCAGGGGCCTGGCCCCTGCTGCTGGCTAGCTGCCTGGTGCCTGGGGTGCTCCAGCTTGCCTCCCTCCCTCTGCTTCCTGAAAGCCCACGCTACCTCCTCATTGACCGTGGAGACACCGAGGCCTGCCTGGCAGGTGAGTCCCTGACTTTGGGTCCCCAGACCACCCTTGACCCAGGGGCACATCTGTCTGGAGCATGTGAATCCCCATTTCTTGGATTTCATTTATCAGGGAAAAGCTGTCCCTCACTTTTGTGCCATCCATCCTTCTCTTCAAAACTCTTTATTGGGGCGCCTGGGTGGCTCAGTTGGTTAAGTGTCTGACTTCCGGTCAGGTCATGATCTGAGAGTCTTGGGATCAAGCCCGAGTCGGGCTCTGCACTCAGCGGGGAGTCTGCTTCTCCCTCTCCGCCTGCCCCTCCCCCCACTCATGCTCTCTCTCCCTCTCTCAAATAAATAAAATCTTAAAAAGAAAACCAAACAAAAAAACCCAAAAACTCTTTACCAAGGGGCTGTCCTAAGTGCCAAGCCAGCGGGACAGAGCAGACCCGGCCCCTGACATCTAGGAACTGCAGGATGGTGCCAGTAAAGAACCCTCCCCTCTACCACATACGCAAGATGAAACACTGTGTCACCTGGGTGCCGATGGGCTGACTCATTAGCTATGGCCATGGTAATGATGCCCAAGAACAATACCCAAATCTCTGGCTTAACATAATCCATTACTGTGTCTTCTACTCATTTGCTTGCTGGGCTGGCTGCATGACTGCTGATCTCAGCTGGGCGGCTCATGGTGTCTGGGAATCAGCCGGTGAGCCAGTCCAGGCTGGTCTGGGCCCGAGCTGTTCAGTTCTGCTGCACACACCTCTCTCACTTTTGGTACCAACGGGCTAGCCTGGGGATGTTCTTATTAAGGTGATGGCAGAGGCCCAAGAAAGCAGATTCAGTTGCACAAGCATTTTGCAAATCTGTGTTCCCCGTGCCCATGAACAGGCCATCAGCCATGTCACTGAACCCAAAGTCAAGGGATGGGAAAATCAACGGCCTATCCTCTCACATGGCAAAGGGTGTGGATTCAGAGAAAGGTGAAGACCAGGGCCCACTCATGCACCTTCTCAGCTTGCCACTGTGGCCGCAGCTATTACTGATAGCCCTGCCCTGTGCAAAACATGCTCAGTGTCATCTGGGGCCCCCACAGTCTCATCCAATCATGGCATCCGTCTTGTAGCCCCAGATCTTAAGATCATATCAAGTCTATATGTGCCTTCTCTTGATCCAGAGACCTAGGAGCTAAAAACACAAGTCTTCTGCCCCTCTGAACTCAACACACAATGGTGAAGGTGGGATGGTGTAACCAGAACTCAGCCTCATTTCAAAGGGAGCAGAAAGCCATCACCAGTCCTTAATGCTTAGGTGCTCCTGGGAAGATGGTGCCAGACCTCCCTGCCTTGCTGGTAGGGAATGTTCCATGATCACGTTCTGGCTCTGCTCCCTGGGAGGGGCCCCCTGGGCTGTGGTGTCCCCAGGTTCTGGCTTCTGCCCTCTGAGTTAGCCTTCCTTAACACCTTCTGAAGAGGGCATTGCAAATGTGCTCATAGAAAGTTGGGGCACACAAGTCTTTATATTTCAAATTGTCTTAGTCCCTTTTCCCCGGGGCTGGTGGAGTTTTTGTCAATATAATTTTCTCAAAAACGATGTGATTCTTCTATGTATTTGACTGATGTGCCCAAAAGCCACATCCACAAGTCTTTTTGAGACCTGCTTCCCTCTTGAGACCGAATGACTGGAATTTGGGGCATGTCAGGCTGCTGGGGACCAACACCCTTAAGCCCTCCAAATGCTCCTTTTCCAGCCATGAGGGTCTATGAGGTGCTGGCATTAAGCCACACCTTTAATTTGGTTGTTACCCTGAGTCCATGGCTCAGTGGCAGGGCTCTGGATTTGATTTTTGCTTTCAGGCCATAACTTAATGTGGAACTCTTTTTGCTAACTGGAGGGGCTAGAGATGAGAAACAGGTTTTTTTGTTTTTTGTTTTTTTGTGGGGTTTTTTTTTCATTTTTTATTAAACCAACCTAGTGAGTTCGGAATAAGTTAAATTTAATTAAATCTTGTTCCCTCTGAAGGTCTTTTTGAGCTCATGTTTTTCTTTTTCTTTTTTTAAGATTTTATTTATTTATTTGACAGACACAGAGAGAGTACAAGCAGGGGGAGCTGCAGGCAAAGGGAGAGGGAGAAGCAGGCTTCCTGCTGAGCAGGGAACCTGATGCGGGGCTTGATCCTAGGACCTTAAGATCATGTCCTGAGCCAAAGGCTCACGCTTAACCAGCTGAGCCACCCAGGCGCCCTTCATGTTTCTCTTATAGTAAGCTTGGAATACTCAGCTAAAAGCAATCAGTTCATGCTTTCACCACATAGGGATCTCTTCCCTCGAGTCCAGGAATTCATGAGGTCTGTTTTCTTTCTTCCTCAATACTGCTTGGCATACCCAGGCATCTATTTTTCTAGCCTCCTCACCATCTCTGCCTGGTATTGGAATCAGTACCATAGATTACAGGTCCTAGTATGGTAGCACCCCTCCTGGTACCCATTAATTAAGTCATCAGTTTTCTGTTGCTGCCTAATAATCATGTCTCAGTGGCAAATCAAAGAAGCAATCACTTAGTTCAAGCCTCTGTGAGTTCCCTGGGTTTGGCTGATGTAGGCTGTGCCTGGCTGGTGGCTCTGCTGGTCTTGGTCGCTCATGCAGGTCTGCTGGGCATTGGCTAATTTAGGAGGGTCCCAGCTGGGCCTTCTCTGCTCTTTCTGGGACCAGTGGGCTAGCCCCACCACACCTTTGTATGATGATGGGAGAAGAGCAAGAAGAAATGAGCAAGGTCTCTTAAGGCTTGGGCTGAAATTTGCATACCCTCCCTACAACCTCATTCTATTGGCCAGAGCGAGTCACATGGCACAGCCCAATGCCAAGGGGCGGGATACATACTTGCCCCTTTGGTAGGGACCACTGCAAAAATCACCTAGCAGAGGGCCTGGATACAGGGACGGATGGAGAATTGGGGACGTTGGATAATGGCAATCTGCCGCAATCGTGTCTGGTCTGATGTATCCGCAGAACCCGGAGCTCCTAAAGCCTTTATTGGTCCGTGATGCCCTGAAATGACAGGGACAGGGGAAGCTCATCCCCATCTGATCAGGGGGCCCCAGAGAGAGAGAGAACAGAGTTGATGGTGGGAGCTCACTGCGGGGGACCAAAGAGGGGCTGGGGGAAGTGGGGCTCAGCACCCTCTCCCCCCGCCCCAGCCCTGCAGCGGCTGCGGGGCAGCGCGGACGTGGCGGGGGAGTTGGCGGAGCTGGAGGAGGAGCGCGCGGCTTGCGAGGGCCAGCGCGCGCGGCGCCCATGGGAGCTGTTCCAGGATCGCGGCCTGCGGAGGCAGGTGACGAGCCTCGTGGTGCTGGCCAGTGCCTTGGAGCTCTGCGGGAACGACTCAGTGAGGCACCCCGCCACGTCCCCTGCCCCGGGTCAGGAGGCTGCGGGGCCGCAGGCCACTGGCAGCCCGCGCCCCTCTGCCCTTCGTCTCCAGGTGTACGCGTACGCCTCCTCCGTGTTCCGGGAGGCCGGGATCCCCGAGGGGAAGGTCCAGTACGCCGTCTTGGGGACTGGGAGCTGCGAGCTGCTCGCGGCCTGCCTCAGTGTGAGTTTGTCCTGGGCTCAGGCTGACCCTCTATCAGCCCTGCGGGGGGGTTGGGGGGCCCTGACTCTCGGAGGACTTAAGTCCTCTGCCTTGAGCCCTTTTCCACTCCAGGTCACTATGCTCAAGTGGGGCGACTTAGCTAGCATTTATTGAGCACCAACTGTTGACCGTGCCCTTAACACACCTTTTTGAGATGAGGAAACTGAATGGAGTGACCAAATTAATAATTAAAAAATTAATAGGGGCGCCTCGATGGCTCAGTCGGTTGCGCTTCAGCTTTCCGATCGTGGTGATTTCAGGGTCCTGGGATTGAGCCCCCTGTTGGGCTCCCTGCTCAGCAGGAAACTGCTTTTCTCCCTCTCCCTCTGCCCCTCCCCGCAGCTCGTGCTCTCTCGCTCACTCTCGCTCTCAAATAAATAAAGTCTTAAAAAAAATTAATAGTGTCTTAATCTCCTGAAGCAATCAACTGCTCCTAACTGCCCCCCCTCCCCACACCACCAGCTTCCCACTGCTCGCCTTTAAACCAAGGGAAGCTTCCAGGGCGGGGGTCAGTGACCAGGGCTCCTTTCCTTTGCAGTGTGTGCTGATCGAGAGGGTGGGCCGCCGTGTGCTGCTGATAGGAGGGTACAGCCTGATGGCCTGCTGGGGAAGTATCTTCACAGCGGCCCTGTGCCTGCGGGTAGGTGGGCTGGACGTGAGGGTTGCGGCTTGGGGCAGCCTGATCTCCACCTCACTGCACCCCCTCTGCCCCTTTACTACAGAGCTCCTTCTCCTGGATGCCCTACCTGGCCATGTCCTGCGTCTTTGCCTTCATCCTCAGCTTTGGCATTGGCCCCGGTGAGTGGGCCCCAGGAACCCTGGGCTTTGGGCTTTGTGGAAGGAACTCGAATGTCTGAGTGCATGATGGGTGGATGTGAATGCAGTGTCACCCGCATGTCCCTCCCACCAGCCTACCTGTACTGAGGCTTCTGGGAGGGGGTGGCTGGAGGAGGCCAAGGGGTCCCCACTCCCATGTCAGGGACAAGGTGGGGGGAAGCCTGGGCAGGGAGTCCTGGCTGGCAGCACCCTGTCCCCGCTCCTCCCTCTAGCCGGAGTGACAGGGATTCTGGCCGCGGAGCTGTTTGACCAGAAGGCCCGGCCTGCTGCCTATATGGTCAGCGGGTCGCTTGTGTGGACCTTGCTCTTCCTGGTCGGGCTGGGGTTTCCCTTCCTCAAGGTAGGCCTGCCCCGCCTTCCCCCAGCATTGAGGCCCTGGCCTTAGGTTTTACCTCTGTCAGCGGGAGGTCTCCATCCAGGGAGCCTGAGGCTGGAGTGGTCGGGACTCATCTGAACCAAGTTGGACAAATCCCTCATCACCACCTGTCATGAGGCCACAGAAGTCTGGTGGCTGAACATGGCCACACCAGGTCTCCGGGTCTCTTTTCACCCGTAGGAGGGCTTGTCCCACTTTCTCTATATGCCTTTCCTCGGTGTCTGTGTCTGGGGGGCCATCTGTACTGGCTTCTTCCTCCCTGAGACCAAAGGCAAGACCTTCCTGGAGATCTCTGAGGAATTGCACAGACTCAACTTCTCCCGGCAGAGCCAGGGCCCTGAGTGGACAGGCCCAGAAGTCATCCTGTCCACAGAGCTGTAACTCTGTAGGTACGGTGAGGGCCCAGATCCAGCTGTTGCTGTCTCCTTTGCTTCCTGCCGAGGGTCCTGGCCCTCTGCATTCCCTAGTTCCTGCATCCATTTGTTTAATAAGGGCTTATTAAGCACCTACTGCATGCAGGCTTTGTGCCCGGTGCTTAGCAATCCGTGGTGAGCCAGAGAGGTGGGATCAGGACCTGCTGGTGGCTCCCTGTCTAGAGGCAGTTAACAGGAAACCTGGCGCGAGCCAAGCTACTCATGCTGTTTGACAAAGTCCAAGTATGGGGAACGATCCTGAAAAAGGAGACTCCACAGCTGGCTCCTGCTATTCTCTTTCATTTTGTTTATGGCAATCTTTATAATTGTGGGAATATTTCTGGGCTGGCTCCTGCTATTTTCTTTCATTTTGTTTATGGCAATCTTTATAATTGTGGGAATATTTCTGGGGTTTCATGATAAAGTGACTACTCATCTTAGTTACGCCTATCTAAGCAATCATAATGAAACTAATTCCATGAAGAATTACTTTCTATAGAACAAAGTAACCAGACGGTCACGCTCTGTCTAGCACCTTTCTCTTTGCGAACTGTTTTTTAGCTTTAGCAAAAGCCAATAAGCAGAAATCAACAAAGGTCATGTTAATCATTACAAAGGAAAAATGAAAGAAGGTTATGGCTGTAATCCAGAAAATGATCTAAGATTTGGAAAAACAAAAATATCCTAACATATAAATAAAGTTCCTCCGAGGCTGTCAGGAGGAGATGCTTGCAACCTGATCCTGTGTCTGTGTCTCCTCATTCGCCGACGCCGTCCTTTCCTACGAGAGACCCACCCCAGCTGGAGCTGGACTCCGGCAGAAACCAATAAAAACAATCACAAACTCAGGGAAATGCAGTGAGAGAAAAATACAGATTTGAAGTGTGTGCATACTAGGGAGCTTGACCTAGTTTGAGGAGGGTGGCCAGAAAAAAATTTTCTGGGGGTACCTGGCTTGCTCTGTTGGTAGAGCACGCGACTCTTGATCTCCGGGTTGTAAGTTTGAGACCCATGTTGGGTATAGAGATTACTTAAAAATAAAATCTTGGGGCGCCTGGGTGGTTCAGCCAGTTAAGCGTCCGACTCTTGACTTCAGCTCAGGTCATGATCTCAGGCTTGTGAGATCAAGCCCCACGTCAGGCTCCACACTGGGCATGGAGCCTGCTTGGGATTCTCTCTCTCCCTCTGCCCTTCCCCAACCTCCACCTCTTAAAAAAAAAAAGTATACATTTGATGAATTTTGGCAGATGTATATGGCCATGAAACCACTGTCACAATCAAAGTAGAACATTCGCATCACCCCAACAGGTCCCTCATGCCCCTCCGTAATCTGTAGGCCCCCCACCTGCTGCCCCAGGCACCCACTGACCTGCCATCTGCCACAATAGTTCACATTTACTTTTTTTCTTAGAGTTTGATATAATTCCATACTATATGTATGCATTTGTGTCTGGCTTTGCTCCAAATAAAGTTTTTGAGCTTCACGCATGTTGTCACATGTATTAGCATTATTCCTTTGTGTTGCTGAGCAGTATTCCACTGTATGGATGTATCATAATTTGTTTACCATTTACCTGTTGTTGGGCATTTGGGGCTGTTTCTGAATCTTGGCCATCATGAATACAGCTGCGATAAACATTCCTGCACAAGTTGTTGTGTAGACAAATGTTTTCATTTCTTTTGGGTAAATGAATTGCTGAGTTTAATAGCAAATGTATGTTTAGGGGTGCCTAGCTGGCTCAGTCAGTAGAGTGTGTGACTCTTGATCATGTGTGACTCGATCTCTGGGTCGTGAGTTTAAGATTTTCTTTTTTTTTTTAATTTGAGAGAGGGAATGAGATAGAGAGAGCATGAGAGGGGGGAGGGTCAGAGGGAGAAGCAGACTCCCCGCTGAGCGGGGAGCCCCATGCGGGACTCGATCCCGGGACTCCAGGATCATGACCTGAGCCGAAGGCAGACGCTCAACCAACTGAGCCACCCAGGTGTCCCTCTGGGTCATGAGTTTAAACCCCACGTTGGTAGTAGAGATTACTTAAAGCTTTAATAAATAAATAAATAAATAAATAAATAAATAAATAAATAAATAAAAGCTTTAAGGGCAACCCTCACTGGTCCCCTCCCTCTTTGGGAGCTTTGTACTCTATCGGTTAATAAACTTTACTATCGCTCAATAAACCTTGCTTTGCTGCCCACCAAAAAATGAATGAATGAATGAATGAATGAATGAATGAATAAATTAAAAAATAAAGCTTTAAAAAATAGTGAATATATGTCTAGCTATAGAAGAAAAACAAACAAAACAAAACTATAGAAGAAACTTTTCCAAAATGATTATACTGTTTTATTTTTTTTTAAGATTTTATTTATTTGAGAGAGAGAGTGAGAGAGAGAGAGCATGAGAAGGGGGAGGGTCACAGGGAGAAGCAGACTCCCTGCTGAGCAGGGAACCTGATCCCAGGACTCCGGGACCGTGACTGGAGCTGAAGGCAGACGCCCAACCGACTGAGCCACCCAGGCATCCCTGATTATACTGTTTTAAGTGCCCACTAGCAACGTATGAGAGTTGTGGATGCTGTAGAGCTTCATCAGCACTTTGTATTGTCCATCTTTTTAATTTAGCCATGCTGCAGGCTCTATAATGGCATATCATTGTGATTTAATGGTGGCATTTTCCTGATGACTAATCATCATAATGCTCATCATAATAAAGTTGAGTATCTTTTCATGTGCTCAACATGGCCATTCATGTGTCTTTTGTGAAGAATCTGTTCAAATCTTTGGTCCACTATTTTTTTAAAGAAGTTAAAATTTGGGGTGCCTGGGTGGCTCAGTCAGTTAAGCATCTGACTCTTGGTTGCAGCTCAGGTTGTGATCTCGGAGTCATGGGATAGAGCCCCTCATGGGGCACCAGGCTCAGTTCAGAGTCTGCTTGAGATGCTCTCTGCCCCTCCACACCTCAAATGAATAAATAAATGTTTTTTAAAAAGAAATTAAAATTTATCAAAACTTACGCACACAACTTAGCAGGCAGACCTACCTTTGGACTTCCAACTGGGAATGTCAAGTATAGACCTAAATGCTTCGGTTTTCTGACTCTTCATCTATAAAATGAGGCCTGCTAGGAGGATTGAGACTGCTGTACGTGTATATGAGCATTGACATAATGGGATTAACCGGGGAGGATCTCCTTCCTGGAAATGGTCATTCTGCAGGTCTGTCTGCGGAGGGCTTTCTGGAAGTCCTTGGGCAAGTGTGTGTGTGTTCCTGGCTGAGAGCTGCCATGAGTGGCCTGTGTCCTGCCACATGGCTCCTGTGGGGGCTTCCAGGCCCTGTGCCCACAGACACCCCTGCTTTAAGGATGCTTGAGACACACAGAGCACTGTAGCGGGGCAGGAGGTGGTCTGGTCAGGCTGGGGAGGGAGAGAGATGCCAGAGGGCCACACCTGACTTTGTCCTGCCAAGGAGACAAGTCGGGGCCATGAGGAGCCCTGCAGTGGGTTGACTATAACCCTATAAGTGATTGTCTAAGCCAGGGCACTGGTGAGTGGAGGGGTGGTCTTGGTAACCCCAGTGGGATAGCAGGTGTGAGTAGGGCTGTCCTGCCCCCTTTCAGAAAAAGAACAGAAAAACAACTGATGGGGCGCCTGAGTGGCTCAGTCGGTTAAGCATCTGCCTTCAGCTCAGGTCATGATCCCAGGGTCCTGGGATTGAGCCCGGCATCGGGCTCCCTGCTCGCCAGGAAGCCTGCTTCTCCCTCTCCCTCTGCTGCTCCCGCTGCTTGTGTTCCTGCTCTTGCTATCTCTCTCTCTCTCTCTGTCAAATAAATAAATAAAATCTTTTTTAAAAAAATAAATGAATGAATAAATCTTAAAAAAAAAACAACTTATGCACATAAATACTTAAAGACCATACATAGCACCATTTGCAGTTGAGAGAAGTGTGAGCAAACATAAAGGTGCAATACTAAATTGTAACTGCATAAAATAAACTGTAGTACCATACTGTATCACTGTAACTGAAAAAACTAAAAACTAAACAAAAAGAACACAACTGGGATGCTTGGGTGGCTCAGTCGGTTAAGCATCTTCTTTTGGCTCAGGTCATGATCCCAGGGTCCCGGGTTCGAGCCCCGCATCGGGCTCCCTGCTCAGCGGGGAGTCTGCTTCTCCCTCTGCCTTCTGCTCCCCCTGCTTGTGCGCTCACTCTCTCTTGACAAATAAGTAAGTAAATAAATAAATAAATAAAATCTTGTAAAAAAAGAGCTTAAAGAAAAGAGATTTTATTTTTAAGTAATCTCTACACCCAGCATGGGGCTTGAACTCACAATCCCGAGATCAAGAGTTGCTCGCTCCACCGACTGAGCCAGCCGGGCGCCCCTCTTCTGATAACTTTAATGTGCGTGGGCTGACCACAATGCCAGGATTTTTGAAGAAATGGCGGGTTGAGTTCCCATTTGACATTGTTCTTCATCCCCACCTCCAGGTGACAGCTTCTCAGAAATTCCCTGTCAGCTCACCTGCCCTGCTCTGGATCTTAAGTTTCCTTCTTGTCTCGGCAATGTCTCCTCCTCACCCGGTTTCTCCGTGGCACGGGATGCCTATACAGACAGACCTTGAGGCAGTAGTGGATTCCAGCTCAAAGATTTCTTCCCCGAGACCAGGTCACCCCAGACTCCAAGTCCTTCCAGCGACTGCGTGAGGAGGAGCTCCAGGTTGCCTTTGGGCCCGTCTCTACCTCTGCCAGCCGCAACCTCTGGCCCTCGCCAGCCACCAGTGCTCCCCGACGCCAGCGCCCTGATTGCGACAGAAGCTAAAGTCACACTCCGGGTGGGGGGGGGCCTGCCAGGGGCCATCACAGCAGCCCCCAACTGCTCCTCCCAGCAGGGCTCTCCCCGAGGCTGCCACCATGTTCACAGAGCACAGGGAGAGCCTGTCCACTATTTTTTTTTTAAGATTTTATTTTGGGGGGTGCCTGGGTGCGACCCACCCCTGATTTCGGCTCAGGTCACGATCTCAGGGTCGTGGGATCGAGGCCTGCAACCAGCCAGGGAGTCTGCTTGGGATTCTCTCTCTCCCTCTCCCTCTCTGTCTGCCCCTCCCCACCCCTTTAAAATAAATAAATCAATCTTAAAAACGTTTTAAGAGATTTTATATTTCTCAGAGAAGTTTTCATTTCACAGCAAAATGGAGAGGAATATACAGAGATTTCCCATATACCTCCTACCCCCTCACATGCAGGGCCTCCTTTATTATC